TTTGCCGGATTCTCATACATTACCTGGGCATCTTTTTTAACTTTTTTTTTTCAGCTCGTAGTTTCCACTGTAATGCAAATAGGCTTTCTCTGTTTAAAATTAATGAAAACATTCGTGAGTTTTTTTTTACAAGACAACAATTTTGAACTTATATGGAGTCGAGACATTTGAAAAATTGATAGTAGTTATCACCCTGAAGTGACTGATTTCGACCAGCGGTTCTGAAAAAGAAGAATGTATACGACTTGATGGACCGAAACATTGAAATTCTTTCTCCGTTTTACTTACTCCTTCTGTTTGTTCTTTGCCTTATCTACTATTTCTCAAGTTCTTGACTACTGGTGTATTGCTTACACATTTTCCTCAATAAGTTTTCCGTAGTTTAGGGGAGTTACTATTATATACAAAGTAGCAGATACAGGTAGCGAATTAGAAAGATATGCTTTTTTTGAGTAAATAGAAAACTTGTTCGACGTAAAATTTTCCGATTCTTTCAGGAGTACGCAACATAGTACGAGGTTGGTTAACCCTGTGCGAAGGGCAGGTGACAGTTTTGGTGTTGCAAGTTTTATCGCAGGCGAGAAACCTGTTCTTCCTTCTCCTGTCTGCTGTAACAAATATTGTAAATTAGTCCAGTACAGGGCACATTGTAAGGGAATCCGTGTAGTTGTCAGCCTGCATGCTTTTGTTTACCTTTTTTATTTAGTAGTAGTTGTAGTAGTAGTTGCAGTAGTAGTAATAGGGAAGGTGGTGGTGGCAGGTGACAGTATCCGGTTGATCTTTGATGCAATCAAATTGATTGCTTCTCTGCTGATAAAATTGTTATTTTATAAAATTGCTCCAGAATGCGCTGCTTTCTGATAGCTAAACCAAAGTTGTACGTTTTTCGGATTGTCACATCTGCGTCACAGTACATTTACGTCAAATGTTTTTTGATGTGTTGCTTGCCTTGCTGACAACCATTGGACGTTGCGTATTAGTAAGTGGTACTAGAAAGAAAGAAGAAGATTGCTCAGGCAGTCCGTGAAGAGGTGACGCACGTATATTGGACAGGCGGTAAATACTTAATGTAAGTATGCAGTCGAAAATCGAATATTCGAGTATAACTGCGACTGGCGTGTAAGAGTATCTCTGAACATTCACTAACATAGAATGCCCACAGGCCTAGTGCGCAGGCGCCCTTAGTATTGTTGGTTTTCATGCTGGTAGTCAAGACTTAGCCCTGATAAAATTCGATTTTTTTAAAACTCATTTAAAGTGATACTTGTTGGGGCTTAATGCAAGTACCGCATGGCGAAATACTGCAGTACCTACTTTGGTACTTCAGTCAGTTGTGTTTTCAACTGCCTATTTCTTCTCGCCATTGATGCAGCTGGCAGCTTCTCCATTCTTCTCCACTTTTTCTCACTGACATAATTCCATATAACTATTCAAGCGCATTTTTGCCCTATATCAGCGACTTTTTGCGTGCACTTTTTTATACTGT